AGCTCTAGCTTGATAGGGTCACATATACCATTTGGCACAAACATAAGCAAACCCCGGCCAGGTGTGTTTTAACCAGAGGACGTGGAGGACTGCCACCCTCCCTCATCCCTGAATCTTCACTCTTTCATCCCATTAATGTTTTGCGAATAGTAATTCTCTTTGACCCATTATTAACCCCACAGATTACAACCTAACGTCCTAGGCTTTTTCACAAGTAGAACAATTTAGCCACGTGTAACACATGACTGTCTTGTCTAGTCAAATTGTAACCAGACTATCCTAGGGCATAAGAGCAGACCTTACAATTATCCTCATTAACAATTCCCCTTTTTGGATCTAACTCATTGTTCCAGCCTGTAAAATCATCCGTGTTCTGACTATGTCACTGCACACATTTACTCTTATGAAACCCCACAGATGGAATGACATACCTCTTCCCTAACCAGGAGAGCGGAGCACTGCAAAGGGACGCCCATCATCTTGTGTGGATTCCATGTCACAGAGTTGGCCCTAAGGAAAACAAGTCCTGTTAAGAGGTGGCATCACGACAAGCTCAGACTGCTTCCCTGTGCCTGGGCAACAGAGCTTCGGGGTTCTTGGCACTGTTTTTCAGACGCCAGGAAGACACTAAGTTTATAAAAGAACCAGCGGATCCATATCCTTTTCTCTTTTCCATGGAGGCATTCATTTGACTTCCAAGGTGGTCTGAGAGCCCCTTCAAATGACTGGAATCATCCAGTCCAGGGGCCCCTTTTGGCTACCAAGGAGCAGAGCAGCAGGCAAGTGAAGGAGCTGTCATGGTGCAGGTCTCCCCTGTCCCTGCTCCTGATACAGTGGTGCAGGGGTCCTCAAACTTTTTAAGCAGGGGGCCAGTTCACTGTCCCTCAGACCGTTGGAGGGCCGGACTATAGTTTAAAAAAAAAACTATGAACAAATTCCTATGCACACTGCACATATCTTATTTTGAAGTGAAAAAACAAAACGGGAACAAATACAATATTTGTATTTGCATGTGGCCCCCAGGCCGTAGTTTGAGGACTGCTGGTGGTGGTCTGGAGTTCAGAGCCATGGCTCCTTCCACTGCTGAATTTTGACCTTTTCCCAACCCAGTTTCTCCTTCTTCTGATTCAACTGATTACCAAATTTCTCAAATGTGTCATTTCATACTAGCTTCTAGCTCATCCCTGCTTCCATTTCTTCTTGAATCCAGTTATCCTTCCAGACTGCAAGTGAGACACACTACAGCTCCAACAGCAGCTTTCAACCAACTTGGTTTCAACACACTGGAGAAATACAATGCTCTTTCATCAACAGTATTAGTGATTCTCAGATCAGGGATTTATGCTGTTTGAAAAGTCTAAGCCATAGTCCTGTTTCAGATTCCTTTAATAATAAGAATTGTTATTATTTTCATCTAGATACAGCAATCATGTCTTAACTGACCCTTGGTTTCCATTTTATCTTCCACCCAGCTCCATATTTACTTCTTAGCTGTTTATGTCCCTCTCCTCTTTCTAAATTGTTGACAACTTCCTTTTGCCTCCAGCCCAAATTCGAATGACAGGGTATGGTTATGATACCCGCATGGCATCAAATGTGTTCGATCTTGTCCTTTCATTTTCTTGTACCCATTTCCATCACATCGGACTATCTTTTTTTCTCAGAAAATTCTGCACTTCTGGTCCAGGGTCTCTTAACGTGATTTCTTCTTTTTGAATGGCACCTCCCTTTGCCTCTTGGCTAAATTTTACTTATTCTTTAAGGCCTGGATCAAGTCTTATCTCTGCACCTTTCTCGGACTTCATTCAATTTCTCTCCCTCACTTCAACTTTATTGCTCCAACCCCCTCCTCCTCCAGGTCCCAGGAAAAGCAGCTGTCCCTCAGTGAGTTCCTACTGCTCACTTTCTATGCTTATCAGGCAAGTGAGTCCCTGCGCACAACTTCTGAGAAGCTGCATGTGACTTTGGTATAAAGAGACTCAGAGAAGGAGGAGAGTAGCAGTACCATCCATGACAGCTGCTGTGAGCGCTTCCCCCCCCCGGCTGAACAACAGTCTTGGGCTCACCCTGTGCCCAGCACACGAGGTGCAAAAACCTTGAGGAGAAATGAGAAGCTGGGAAAGATCTGGCTCATCTATTGGATGAATGGCAGGCTCAGCGGCCAGTCAGAGAGAACACTTACTGGCCTGGGGATCTTGTCTGATCAGTGAATAGTCCAGCTCTTCTTCTTGGCTGGAATTGAGGCAAGAGGCATAGGCAGTTCATGGCCAGATGGATACTAGCCCTGGAAGGAGGGCTAAGTGACTTCAGGACCAGAATCAAGGGGCCTGGGATCTAAGCAGTAGGTAACAGTGGTTCAGGGAACCAGCTTGGGAGACAATCTGTGTTTGCATATAGGTTCTATCACTTCCTAGCTAAGTGATCTTGAGCAAGTTAGTCAATCTCAATATGCCTAGATTTCCTTGTCTGTAAATAGAATAATAGTACAGTAAAGTGCTTAGAACTGTGTCTGACATACCATAAGCATTAAATAAGGTTGGCTTTTGCTATTGATTTCAGTTTTATTATGTATGAGCTGGTAACAGTGGGTACATAGATGCTGCCATCCTATAATATTGGACAGCTATATACCTCGTCCTGAGGAAACTCAGCCATCAGTAATGACTCGAATGGAAAAGAAAACAGCTGTTCTCCATTCCTCTGAGTATAGGTGTCTATTTCTATGCAGTGGCCAATGCGTCTTTTTAGAGTAGGAGGTGCCCAAGTCCACAGCTACCTGTCACTGTCCTGCTCTGTTCCAGAGGGGCTGCCTCACAAAGACAGCAAAAAGCTGAGCAGAGTGATTCAATGACGCGGCCTTAATTTATTGGCAAAATGTTGGCAATTTATAAAAAAACACCCTCCAGTTTATTTCAAAATGTTCTGCCCTTGGATTCAGACAAGTGGTGTCTGTGATTTTCCACAAGTTGAGAGAACTGAGTCCCCTTGGGCTGTTTTCAGACATAGCCAAGTGCCCTCATTTGCACCTCAGACTCAGCAGACCCCAAAGGAACTCATTCACTGGCTCCTCCCATCCTCCCAGACCTCTTCTTTGTCCTCATCTTCTGTGCCTCCCTCCCTGCTCCATTTTCCTCCCAGGCATCCAGCTCCCAAACCTGTGAGGCTTTGGTTTCATTCTCTTCTTCCTGGTTCCCTGACAGCGCCCCCTGCAGTTGTCTTTCCCCACCTCCTGGGTTCAACTGCTTTCTTCCCCAGTCCAAGAAATGTAATGCTCTCCGTGCGTAATAGAGGCCCAGGGGTTGAGCCTGACTTGGCTCTGTGGGCAGGGGCCCTGGGCAGGACTTGCAGACACTCGACTAGCTTCTTAGGCACTGCCAGGACTCCATCACAGTCTCCAAGCAACTCATCTGAACTTTCCCCAAGGACCCTTTCAAGCCTGCAAGTCCCTGCTCATCACCTTGCTTCTTCCACTTCTGCCTGATAAAGCTCCCATGCCCATCCCTGTTCAGGAGGAATCCTTCCTCCCTGGTCCCTCCACACAGCTCGCTTGTCTGTGTGTTGGGCCTTTACTTTCTCTGCCTTGAATTTTAATCCATTGTTGATTGTCAGTCTTCCCTGATGGAGGCTCAGCCTTTTGGAGACAGGCTTCCTATCATATTCATCCTTGTGCTCTCATGGAGCCTAGTGCGAGGCTTGCATATGGAGGAGGTTCTACAACTAGTGAGTTGAATTTCGGAACCTCTGACTCTTGGAGCGGAAGTGAGGGCAAAATTGGTAACAGGGAAGAAGCTGCACTGGAACTTTCAGCTGGGCCCGAGAGCCTTGAGAACGGACCATAGTAGTGGATTCATGTAGCAGCCTGCTGGGGGAGGGTTAAAGTCAATTTAAGCCTAGCCGGTTTGGCTCAGTGGTTGAGCTTTAACCTATGAACCAGGAGGTCATTGTTCAGGGCAAATGCCTGGGTTGTGGGTTCAATCTCCAGTAGGGGGGCGTGAGAGAGGCAACTGATCAGTGATTCTCTCTCATCATTGATGTTTCTCTCTCTCTCTCTCTCCCTCTCCCTTCCTCTCTGAAGTCAATGGAGGTGTATTTAAAAAAGAATAGTTCGTTTACAGTGCACAGAAACAGACTTTGGAGCCTGGGGGCTCCTGGCATGCACTCTCAGTGACACCATCTCTGGCCATTTGCACGGTGCTAGCGAGGAAGAGGATTGCTTTCTGAGAATTGGGTTGGTTCTTGAAGGGGATGCCAGGCAGGGCTCTGGGAGCTTGTACCATTTTGTTATGTGGACAGCACTCTGGGATCCCGGTGACCATGAGGAAACCTCTGGATTTGGGGACAAAAATCAACTATGGATTTCCTCCACTTTAGCGTGAGTCCTAACGCTTGGGAAAACATGATGCCCCAGGTGAAGCCAATTGTTTTCCTAAATTTGTGCCCATGCACATTATGCCTAGGGGTTTCCACGGGCCCTGCAACCTTATTCACCAACAAAAGTGTGCTTTTGGCGGATGATAAGTCAGCCTGTTGGATCATCTCAGATAAATGGAGGGAATTGAAGGGATTCTGATAAAAGCAAAACACCATCAGTCCCTCGTTTTTAGGACCTCATGTCTGGCTGTTCCACTGGGTAGAGTTCATTACTATACAGTTGCAAGACCTGCGGCAGTGGCAGAGGACTCTGTTCTATTGTGAGTGTTCTAAGCCTTGCTCTCAAATAACAGTCTTTAGTGCCAAGGTGCGTGGGTGTGTTTTTCCCAGGCTCAGGGAAGGTAATTTAGCAGCTTTTAAGTCATCATCAGCGTAGGATGCTGCATGGCTTTTAGCACTCAGAGTCCCAGGTGGCATTAAAGGTAGAATAACAGATGCTCACTTTTTGTGCCCGTCACAAAGAAACTCAGAGAAGAGAAGGTACTGTGTACAGAACACTTCTGTCGAAATCACTTGAATTTAATTCCTGTTCTGAGCATTTAAACAGGCACCTCCTCAATTGTTCCCTTTTGTTCATTGCCTCTCCCTGTTTAGTTCGTTGCCTCCTTCTTAAGTTTTGGGTTTTGAGCAGAGTGAGGCCTGTGAGAAGCCCTGAAGGACCAGAAGCAGAGACTAGAAGTGGCTCCTTGTAGGAAGGGACAGGCCCGTCCTCATCCACCCACACCCACAGGCACCTGCAATCAGAGAAAGGGCAACGACTCGGAACAGCGACCCTGCTGGTCTATGTCGAGTCTTCCCAGTCTTCTCTTCACTAAGGAGGCAGGGTGCCCCTGACTCCGCCTCAGCAACCCCACTCCTCTTTCTACTCCCAGATTCCCTGGGTATTGGTTCTGGCCTGGCTGCCCGGCAGGACCAGTGGGGACAGATGCTCCCGAGTGCCACCAGCCTGACTCCTCATCCTGGAACAGAAATTGTGCCAAGCTGTCCGGGGGCAGAGCCAGTGGAAAGCTTTTCCTGGGCGGCATCTGGCTACTTGGCAGGGCACGCTGGGAATCTGGCAGCCTCCATTGAATTCAGGCCTGCTCAGTTGCCTGGAGTGTCAGAGCTCACCACGCAGTTGACCTGCGGTGTCGTGATGGGAGAACAGGGAACTCTGAGCTCCCTCTGCACGTGGTCCAGAGCCCCAGGCTGGTTTTTCATTCTGTGATTTTTGTTTTCTGTTTGCTTTGGATCTGAATATGCTTTACACTAATCAAATAATATCTCTTTTGTGTTTTATGGCTTTTTCTCAATGATTTACCGCTTAGTTTCTGAATAAAGGTGCTTTGTGGCATCCCTCAGGGTTATATCAGGAAAAAAATATCATGGGAATAAAAGCGTGTTCCACTTTAAGTAAAGTGGCCATTGAAACCCAAACCTGTCATAAATTACAAGGTGTTTATTTGCTTTGCTAAATTATTTACTGGTTTCTTTAAAGCAGTGGGTGTTATCCTTCATGGAACCCAAAAGCCATAGGTCTCCCTCGGAAAGTTTTAAACAGTTTTGGTGGATGGTTCAGAGATCCTAGAAAGGTCATTCCTGATTTCTCTGGTGAACCGTGGGCCCCAGTTGGGAATCTGTGTGTCTGAGAGATATTCCCCCTGCGCCATTAGATATAGGCTCTGGTTTCTTTTTGTTGATTACACACGGTATTTACACATATATGACCACACAAGGCAAGGCACACAAGGACTGCACAGAGCGGGCTCACCTGTATACAACAGCTCTTAGAGATCGGGTGTAACTTGCTTTCAGCATTTAGCTTTCACACTTAACACTGTGAACAAGAAAAATGTGTGTACCTCTCCACGCCGCTCAGTTTCCACTTGTGTTTCTGGGACATCAGCAATCCCCCACCCCAAGCGGCCTGAAAAAGGAAGATCATACAAGGAAAAGGTAGAAGTTTTTCATTGCTTAAATTTCTATAGTTTGGTGTCTTTCAGAACAGTGAGCATTTCCTTGACCCCAGACAACTTAGGGGTTGGCCACCTTCTAGATTTTTTTAATTGTGTGGCTTTGATTCTGGTACAAGAATGTTGGTGAGTAGCACTGACTTTAGGTCATCATGGCTTTATGATAAGTATTCAGAGAAAATTATTTCCCCTCTCTTTGGGAGCAGAAAACATTTAGAGGCCAAGCTAGATAAATTTCTATTATTCCAGAGGTATAGTCTGCATAGTAATTACCAAACTTCTGTTGCTTCCATGAGTCACAATGTGAGTTGTGCATTGGGCTACCAGAGACCCCTGTGTTTTACACATGAAGACACTGAGAAAGGATTGAACAACTTGAGTACCTTCAGTGACCTGGTCTCGGAACTGGGAGTCTAAATCAATTAAACTAGATTCTCAAAGTTTAAATTAGGGGTCTATTCTAAGGTTTCACACTCCATCCCGCATTTATGTGGTGTAAGGAGCCACATTGGGGCTACCTTCCCTCAGTCTGCAAGAGAGACAGGTTCTCCCCACAGCCCATCGCCAGCACTCAGTCCGAGTGAAGCTCCTCATCTCAGAGCGAGGAAACCTATTATCTGTACAGTGTAGAGTTGAGAACATGGGCTGGGGACCCTTTAAACATCTTCCAAGTTGCAAGGAAAACTCTTTTGACAATTCTGAATGAATCCAGAGGGAGGACGTGGCTTCACAATCCAATTTCACTGCTGTGTGATTTTGGATAAGCTAATTTCTCTGTCAAAAGCAAAACAAACAAACAAACAAAAAACCTACCACCAAAAAAGCAAGCAGGAGAGATTTGTACCAGTCAGTTAGTTGAACAATTAGAACATGACCCTTAAATTTTTTTTCTCAAGTTTTTTCTCTGAACTGGTAGAGTAATCTTTAAAAATAGAATGTCAAGATAGAGATTCACTGGAAGATATTAACCTTCTTTGTGGGTAAAAAATATTCCTGGGATTATTTTAAAGGAAAAAAACCACCACTGTTAGCGTATAATTGCTCCCCCGCTTTGTTGTAATTTCAGTTCTTTTCCAAATGTGTAATCTTTTAAGATTTTTTAGCTTAATTATAGAATGTATAAACATTAAAGAGAATAAGTAGTAAACTTGATATGTTTCAAAGAAAGCGAATACAATTGGTTAAAAGACCTCCCAGCTCTGTTGTAATTACAATCCTGGAAGAGAGACCGCAGCATCTGCTAGCATAGGACACACAGACATTGCTATTTTTAAAGCAGTCAGGGTAATTGTCTTCCTGAATCAGCTAGCAAGGTTTAACAGACTGCCAGTTCCAAGACCAGGTCACTGAAGGTACTCAAGTTGTTCAATCTTTTCTCAGTGTCTTCATGTGTAAAGCATAGGGGTCTCTGGTAGCCTAATGCACAACTCACATTGTGACTCATGGAAGGAACAGAAGTTTGGTAATTACTATGCAAACTATACCTCTGGAATAATAGAAATTTATCTAGGTTAGCCTCTAAATGTTTTCTGCTCCTAAAGAGAGGGGAAATGATTTTCTCTGAATACTTATCATAAAGCCAGGATGACCTAAAGTCAGTGCTACTCACCAACATTCTTGTACCAGAATAAACTTAGGCTTCCTTCACTGAGAAAGCCACACAATTAAAAAAAAAGTCAGCCCTAACCGGTTTGGCTCAGTGGATAGAGCGTCGGCCTGTGGACTGAAGGGTCCCAGGTTCGATTCTGGTCAAGGGCATGTACCTTGGTTGCGGGCACATCCCTAGTAGGGGGTGTGCAGGAGGCAGCTGATCAGTTTCTCACTCATCGATGTTTCTAACGCTCTATTCCTCTCCCTTCCTTTCTGTAGAAAATCAATAAAATATATATTTTAAAAATAAATAAATAAATAAAAAGTCAGCTTTACCAAATACTGTGCTTAGCAATATTTTGACACCAACTCCTTATTTCAAACCTGGATCATTAACAGTTTGCAGATAGCAGCTAATCTTGAGCCACACTATGAAAAATACTGGCCTAAATTTAAATCCCTGCAATTTGTCCTTCTAAAAATGGACAGTTTTCCATTTGAAAATGTTTTCATGGGCATTTTTTTTTTAGTGTGACTAAGCCTACAGTCAAAATTCTCACATCTAGTTTACCTTAGCTGATCAAGCTAAGAAATTGGTAGGTATTTCTTAGCAAGCTGTCAAGTCTGCTTTCTTCTCAGTATATATAAATACCTGACTTGAGTTTTTTGAACCTTTGGGTTTCCTATATAAATGCAATTCCTGTTTATCCATGTGAGCATTCTTGCAGGGCAGTAAGCTCTGCATGTGTGTGCTGTGTGTGCACAAAGGACATGTGGCTCAATGGATTAAGAACTAAGTGCTCAGCTCAGGTACTGGCCAAAGAAATAAGAGTATTATCATGTCGGGAACATTAAGACATAATCAACCTCAGACTGCTTCCAGTGAATTTGTATATTTTGTCAATTGTGAGCTATTTTTGTCTTTTCAGTTATTAAAAGCTGAAATATTACCATTCTAAAATGAGGGAGAGAAAGAGAGAGAGAGAGAGAGAGAGAGAGAGAGAGAGAGAGAGGAGAACAAATTTCATTCCATGAGCCCCAGGTGAAAAATGCGCAAGGACATTTTAGCGGCAGGCCTATGGGATACTTACATCCACATGCATCCAGATCTTATACTTTTTGCAGATGTCAGCGACAGCTAAGAGGGGATCAAATGCTCCGTACACGGTGGTCCCAGCTGTGGCACTCACGAGGAAAGGGACAAATCCCTATGCAAATGAGAAAGCCCCAAGACATGTAAAACAGGGATTCAAAGATTCTTTAAAATAGCTGGCAAAAACAAGGAAATCCCCCCCTCTCATACAGGTGCATTTTTGGAGCCACCAGAAAGGCCATTGAAACCTCAGAGCCTGGTAGGGACAATATTCACACTCCAGGACTGGAGTTCTCCAGGCCATTCCTCGGGAACAGAAGACATTCTGGTTCTCAGAAAAGGCTACACTGGACCCAGAGGTGAATACCCTTTGTGGTGCTCACCAGTCATTTATATTTTCTAGGGATGTCTTCTGGCCTTTCCTCCTACCCTTTGCTAACTTTCTAGTCTTTCTTGTTCATAAAAGGACCTCAACTTAATAAATTAGCAGAAAAGAGAACAATGAGAAGGAACTCCAATCAGCTCATTACTCCTATTTGGAAAATCCTCAGATAACTTATTTGGAGTCTTAGAGAAGAGGATTCATATGGAGCTAAACAATAACCTCTGACTTTTATGCGTGTTAGTAGTTCTCAGTCTGTCTGGCCCTGGCTAACTGAAATTGATTGAAATAAGAGATGGCTGCTGAAAGAAGGCAGAAGAATGACTCAAATAGATGAACATGTTACTCCACATGCCACAACATGATGTTACAGAGTCAGTCTGTAGGTGGCAGCAAAGGCTTAATCTGTGATTTACCTTACAAGAAGTAGTTCTAGTACAAGAACAAGGGGAACCTCCCACTGCCAATTTATAGGGGGGAAAAGGCATATAAATAGAAATAATTATTCTTGAGTTCATAATAACCAAAAGGTGTTACAGCGTTGAACTAGGATCTGTAGGTTATATTCAGTGGGAATTTGATTAAGAGAATTCTAGAAATAAGCTCTCTGGCTTGCGAACCATCCAGGGATGTACATGACTTTCCAGAGCTTTGTGGGACTCTGTAGCAGGTCTCCAGAACTTATTACTTCTCAAGAGTTCTAAACGGTTTCTGAAAAAGAAGGCGTTTAGAGAGCCAGGCATACCAGTATGTGTACAGGCAGGAAAAAAATGGCCCCTTTCTAATAACCTCACAGCAGTAACTGACACGCTGCATTAGCATTCTGATATTTTCCACTTTCTGATCTTTCACATGTGTCTGCTTGATGCCAAGTCTCTTCATACAAGAAGACAAATGCTTTGGAAACTCCTACAATATTATTGTGGATGTTATTTATTCAGCAACTTAGACCTTTAGAAATACAGGTCTACAAACCAGAGACATAAGTAATGAGTAGATGCAAAATTCCATATTCTCATTAAAGCTGGGAGGTTGAGGTTCGGGTCCTCTTTTTAATAATAAAACCGAAGTGTGTTCTCCACTGGATCGGACTAGAGATTTGTACCCTTAGCTTGTCATGGGCTAGATGAAGCTCCCTACAAAAACTTACTTTTTGTTTGGCTTCAAGGATCCTTCTTTCAAGGTCAGATGGGATCATTTTCCCCCTGAAAGGAAAAATAGATTATAGATTTGCTTTGAATAATTTACTTTTTTTGTCCTTGACAAGCGGCAACATGAGGGTAAAAATCCAACCCTAAACCGTTGATAATAATAATCAGTTTAAACAACTCTCATCTCTTTTCAGAAAGAAATGCATTTCCTCCCTGACTGATGCAAGGCTCCAGTATCTGGCAGGTTCCGGGGACTCCTGACCACTGTGCACTCGGCACAGATCCTGCTTTTCGGGTCATCCTCTTAATTCAGTTAAAACAAGGCTGCTTTGGAGCAAGACATTTGGCAATGGAGAGAGAGTGCAGAAAAAGACTTGTATTTCAAACCTTCTAATGGATGGACCTGCAATTTCACATACAGACAAAATACCAAGACGAGAAAATGCATTCTGAAGCCTTTGAATGAAATATTAAGCCAAAAAGCTACCTAATTACATGCTAAGTGCTAAAATCATGAAGCAGGCCAAGAACTCATAAATTCAAATTTCAAACAGGAATTGGAGAAAAAACATCCTTTCATCCCCATAATGCTTCTTTCCTAAAATAAAAACACAAATAGTGCTTTGCTTGCTATAAAACTCCACTATTATAACAACCAGAGGAGTTGATTTCTCCAAGAAGCCAGATGTGGCTAGCTGTGTGATCTTAGTCAAGTTTCTTTATTTCCCTGTGTGTTATTATTATTACTAACCCTAGAACATAGTGGCAATAATATCACTCATAGAGTTATGAGGATTTAATGAGTTAATAAATGCAAAGTATTTTAAAAGTATTTGACATATGGGATGCATTCCATAAATGTTAGCTTTTGTTGTTGGGATTGTTGTTATGTATTGCGACATTCCTAGCTAAGACGTTTGGGGAAGCACAGGCAAAGGGCGGACAGAGTAGGTACAGAGGCCCGGAGGAGTGAAATATTCTTTCAACCAACACAGCTCTCTTGAGTTTGCTAGACCGGTTAAACTTTTCACAGCAAGGTCCTTGATCTAGGTGTGTTTTTTTAAAGCAATTTGGAGAAATACGTTATGAGGAGGAGGTTGGAACAATAAATGGTGGGAGGGTGCTACTAGCATTTAGTGAGCAGCAAGAGGGGTAGTAGGATTTGTCACTAGCTCAATAGTCCATCCGTGGCTGTCCCTGTGACTCCAGAAATAGCACGAGAATTGGGCTGCTTCATTACATCTCCTAGTGTGACCATGCCTAAGGTTTTGCATATTGAAATGTTATTTCATTGTTATTGTGCTACCATCTCTCCATTTAAAAACATAATTTGTGCATTATATAGTGAGCAGGTAAGTTATATTTTCTACAATTTTCATTTCAGGCTAATAAACGAGGTGCTGCAAATAGTTGGAATATAAAGCAGACATTAGGCCTGAAGGCATTGAGAACCACTGATTTATGCGAAGTTGTTTGCCAAAGAAAAGCAGTTAAAAGGCAATTACCTGGCGATGGTAATGGACAAGTTAATAGTGATTAGTCAGACAGGGGGTAACGAACAAAGGCATTGAATGTGCATTAGGTACAAAGGATGCACTCCACCTTGGAGCAGCCACCTTTGGGGAACTTCTATGCAACGGGGACAGGAGGAGGGACAGAGGGAGTGCAGAGGTGGGGAGGACATCTCACTCCCTGTGTTTATCTCTTCACTTCACAGCTTAGCCTGGGAGCAACCTGGGAGGAGTGATTTTCACCTCTCCTAGACCAGACTGCCGAAACACCTCACTCCAGGCCTGCTATAAGCAAAATGTTCACCTTTCAGAGGAAATGCAGATATTTATCTTTTATATAAAGTTCTAAGCACATTACATTTACTGTAGTGCCTTTGTAGTATATGGAAATTGAGAGAATTCCCAGAAATTGTTTACAAATTCCCAATTTTACCTGGTCTACTAAAACCAATCACCTGTCTGCCTTGCGAAGTTTGAGGCGGACTAGCTTGACAATCGCTATCTCCTCATCTAATCATGTTCTGTTAAGTTTAGGCAGTAAGGTATCACAGATTAAGGCACATTAGAATTGGAAGGGGCTCAAACCTGATTCGAGTTTGTCTCCTTTTACAAATGAAAAAACAGGCCAAGAGAGGCAACGTGACTGCCCAAGATCAAAAGCTGGTAAAAGGCTGGCTGTCACTAGAAATAAAATGAGCAGCTTCCGGCACAAACTCAAAGGGCCAAAGATATAGGAAACCTATTTGGGAAGATTGGAGTCTTTTAGGATAAGATAAATCCTTTAAGATAATATCTGAATTTCATGGATCAGAGGTGTCATTCAAGTCTTCCAGGAAAGCAGTGATGAACATACAGTTGGTTCCATTTCTGTATTGGCAAGCTGTGGGGCAGCAGGAAGGGGCAAGCTTATCAAATGCAATATGCCCCCCTTAGGCATGGGGGTGCGTTCCAAGACCTCCACTGCATAGAACCAATATATATATAATGTTTTTTTTCTTATACATACATGCCTATGAGAGAGTTTAATTTATAAATTAGGCACAGTAAGAGATAAACAACTAATAATAACATAGAACAATTAGGCAATATACTGTAATAAAAGTTAAGTAAATGTGGTCTCTCTCTCTCTCTCTCTCTCTCTTTCTCTCTCTCTCTCAACAGCTTATTGTCTTTATTCACCTTTTCACTTAAAGAAAGCACTTTATGGCTTCCCTTTGGTATCTGAATTGTCAACATTACTACCCTTACACGTTGGGGCTATTATTAAGCAAAATAAAGGTACTCTGTCTTCCACTCCCATATTGGTTTTGTCCACTTCAGAACCCAGAGCCTGGCACACTGCAGGTGGCAGCTCAACATTCGTTGGAGGTGTGTGATTAGAAGGCAAAAGTTTAACTCAAGGACGATATTACTGTGATTACGTTATTCTTTGACCAGACAGCTAGTGTGGGGGCTTCTGGAGACAAAATTTTTCATTTTTCCATTTATGTTAGAATTGGCTGAAATACTTTAGAATAATGGTTTTTAAATTTTAGTGCACATAAAAACCACCTGTGTGTGCCTTTATTTATTTTTAATTTTTGTTAATTCTCATCCAAAGATATTTATCTTTTTCCTTTGATTTTTAGAGAGTGTGGAAGGGAGGGAGAGAGAGAGAAAAAAAAACACCCACACATTGATGTAAGAGAGACACATCGACTGATTGCCTCCCACATGCACCCCAACCAGAGCTGAGATGGAGCCTGCAACTGAGGTATGTGCCCCTGACCAGAATGGAGCATGGGACCCTTCAGTCCAGGGGCCGACCCTCTATCCTGAACTGGTTAGGGCTGTGTGTGCCTTTAAAACACAGATTCTTTGGCCCCGCTGTTAGGGATTTTGATTCAGTCAGTCAGTTATAAGACCCAGGAATTAATGAATCCCACAAGGATTTATTGCACACTTACTATGTGCTAAACACTGGGTAAACAGCCAGTTTCTACTCTCCAGGGCTCACATGCCAATAAGGAAGATACATAATAACATAGTTAGTAGACAAACATGCATAAGAATTTGCATTTCTAATAAGCACCCAGGGTGATGCGGAAGCGGGTAGACCTAGCTCCAAGAAATATTGCTTTAGAAATGGAACGTTTCACCTGGTAGGCACTTAAATAACTGGGTAACATACTAGCCAAGTACTTTCATGTGACCCATGGTTTTGAGCCAGCATGGCTTGGGCAGCGAGCAGAAGGAGCTCCCCAATGTGGCCCTATGCGGCCCTGCCTGCCTGTGTGCTGTGGGCGAGTACCTTGGGCGACGACCAGCAGGCTCTTCTGAGGATTAGGAGCTGTCTGGCCAGTCCTGGCTTTTCCGGCCCAGCATCTCTCGGTGCAGGGCAGCTGTGGATGGCAGCTGTCACATCCTCTGTCTGTTCTAAAAGCATTTCTATAGCCAAAAGTTCTTCAATGTTTACACATCCAACCTTTAGGCTCACAGATAAGTGGTAACCGGCTCTGTAAGGCTGCTTTCTGTTAGTTGTTGGTGTTTACTAGTAAGAAAGCAACATTAAAGTGATGCCTCTTGTACCAGACTGCTGCTTTGAATGCTGTGGTTTTGCATTAAATTCCCGATTAGCGGTAGCCTTTGAAAATTCACATGATGCTATAGGGTCAGATAACTGCAAAAAGTTGCCTGGGGAAATCCCACAATGCCAGCTAGAGCTGCCAGCAGGAAAAATCCTCTCCTTGTGGGAAGGGCAAAACACATGGATTACATCATGTGTGGATTTTTGACTCAGATTCATGGCTATCCTTCATGGCTCTGAAGGAGAAAGCTACCCATCCTACCTAAAGGGGCACGCTCCTGCAGAGTGTGTACCTCCAGGCAGGCATTCCAATGGGCACATATGGGGTGCTTGAGTCATTGGGGACCTGCTCATTGACCTGCTGCACTTGTAGTAATTCTACCAGCCTTTCCTAAGTGAGGAGAGCTTGGCTCTGTTCACAGAGACACGAGCGCAAAGAAGAAAGGACGTGTGAGTCCTTCCTGTTAGAAAGTGACTAATGTTATGATCACTGTTAATAGCAACACAACATCAGTGATAATGACTTACCATTTTTAGGAAGAGTCACTGCACTATGCCTTAGATAAGGCTCTGAGAAGCAGCTGAATGTGGCTAAACATTTGAAATGAGGAGACAGAATAAACTGGGCTTCTGCTCCAAACCTTGTGCTAATTGTGTGTACTTGAAGCACTTAGTTCTTTCTTGTACTCACCTGCCTCCCAAGGTTTACATGAGGATCAAATGAAATAGTAAATGTAAAACACTATAGGGCACTAAGTGTCGGAAGCCAGTTCCAGCATGTCAGCAGGGCTGAATCATCTGGAGATGGCTGAGGGCATTTTCCCAAACCTGAAAAGGATGCATAAATGATTGTTTGCTGCCAGACAGGTCAGGGCATTTCAATCTACATGTTATTGCCTCCTGCTGGCCAAACACCTGAACAGCCGGAGGCATTTCCTCTAATCTGACAATGGATTCTGTATCTAACCCTTCCCCTTGAAGTGTATATCTACCTCGCCTTAGGACAAATTGTGTTAATAAAAAGCACAGGGTCCCGAGACAAGGAGAACTTAGTTCCTTTAGCTAAGCCTTCTCTGACTCCCCATAATGCCTTTCAAAATTATGTTTTGTCTATGGACTCTTATTTAATTTACGCACAGTGTCCCCAGCTCAGCCTTTTCTCTCCTAAATACCTGGAAGGCAGGCTTAGTGGACTCCTCCCAAGGCTATTTCCATGGTCACAGCCTGATTTTCACAGGAGTAGAAGCAATATTGGTGCCATAAGGAGTGGAGTCAAGAGCCTCCTCTGTTCTCCCAGATAATCTATCTTCCCATTGGGATTCAACTCAAGAGCACCTACAAAGCCATAGCCGTTTTGGCTCAGTGGATAGAGAGTTGGCCTGTGGACTGAAGGGTCCTGGGTTTGATTCCGGTCAAGGGCACGTGCCCAGGTTGTGGGCTTGATCCCCAGTAGGGGGCGTGCAGGAGGCAGCCCATCAATAATTCTCTCTCATCATTGATGTTTCTCTCTCTCACTCCTCTCCCAAATATATATATATATTTTAAAGAACACCTACAAATTGGAAAAAACATGGCCTGTCAGACAATTCTTCCCTGGATTCCAGGCTCATTACTTACAACCGTTTGGCTACAGATTAAGGAAATGTTTTGTTATTTAAATTTTTATCCCCAGTTAGCAAATTTTGTGTCTGTGCCAATTTTCTCCTCAAGTACCTGATAGTGAGGAACACTGGTAGCCTTAAAAGTATAAAGCGGTTCCTTTTTCAGAATGTGTTCACCTCACTCCAGTCCTCTCTATCATTTCATGCCCATCTTACTGCTAGAGTCACTGACCAGTCTCTCGTCTTCCTTGCTCCCTGAAGGGTGTTTCACTCATGCCCTTGGCAGATAAAAATGCTTGCAAGTTACCTGGTGTCCAGACTCATCAAGTTCAAATGCTAAGTTTAGCTTTTTATCCCCAAAAAGAAAAAATAAAACATCACTGTTTTTTCTCATTGTAGAGGTAATGTGCACTCCTTGCAAACAAATTCTGGCAATATATAAAGGTGTGAACAAGAACATGGCAGGCTATTGTAATTTTATCTTCCAGAGGGAGATGTGGCTATTTATTAATCAGTTTGGTTTTTTGAGTTTTCAAAATCCCACATGGCCAGACATGTTTGCTATGGCTGTCCCCTTCCCCTCCTGGAGCCCCACAAGCTCATTGCTACTTCTGTGGCTTTGCTGGTGGTACTCAATCTTCTGCTATTGTCCCCACCTCCACTCCCATTTCCAACTCATCTCCAATTTTTAAAATCCAGCTCAAGCCCTCGCTGCTGCATGAAACCTTTCAACCTGACCAATGTATGCAATGTGTACTCTGGGCCACACAATTCAACCATATCAATGTCTCTTCTGATGCTACTCCGTCTCTCCACTTAGATCATATTCTGTCAGGGCACTGGGATTATGCCTTATCTTTTTCTAGAGCTTAGTGGTATGGTGGGCAATCATAAATGTCTGTCCCATAAATTCATACCAATAAATAAGTGGTTAATTTAATTTTTATAGGTTCCAAGCTACAGGCTAATGATAATTTACATGAATATCTTGAAAATGCTATTAAATCTTCCTTTCCCCTTCCCCTCCCCACCTATTCACAGAATGCCTATGAAGGTATGGGTGTCAATGAAAACATGGATTCTTCTTTGGTTCCAGCACAAAGCTGATGAGTTGCTGAGGCATTATTTATTCCCTACTCGCTAAAATGCCACCCCCCTTCTGTAATTACTTCATCAAGTGCACACCATTCAGGGTTCCTAGAATGATGACATCACCATAAATCAGTGACCAAGTGGTTGGTGTTGATGAATGTCCTTGTGCACCATCTTGGTGCAGAATATTTTGGTAGATTTAACAAAGGTTCTGATTCAGTCAAGGGCCATGGAAGGCTCCGTGGCACTGAGGGACACCATCCCACGACTCCGAGCAAGAGCCCGTGTGGAAAAGAAAGTGAATGGCGGTGGCCAGGATGGCAGCCAGGTTTTCTGCCCCCATGGTCATCACCTGTTTTCAGACTAAAAGGTATACACATGTGTGGAATTTGCAAATTGCTAACCAACAAGGGTTGCATATTCATGCTCACCTCTCATCACATTTAATTAGAATCACGCTGTCTGTTCCAATGCCCAAGGCTGCAGCTCCCTTCTTGAGAGAAAAATGACTCTGTAAAAAAAGCATATTAGTAATTAGCTGCATATAAAGTCAAAATCCACTCCCTTTGCTATTTTTTTTTCATTTCTCCTATTTCTAACCTGTGCCTCCAAAGCCTGGATTGCTGCGAGAAGAAGGCATCCTTCACTTGGGCTTAAAAAATTGTCACAAAATCTACATAACATAAAATTTACCATCTTCATCATTTAGAAATGCACAATTCAGTGGCCTTAAGTACATTAATGTTGCTGTGCACCCATCACTACCATCCATCTCCAGAACTCTTTCCATCTTGCAAAACTGAAACTGAACCCATGAAACAACAGCTCCTCATTCCTCCCTCTCCACAGCCCTTGGAGACCACCATTCTACTTTCTGTCTCTATGAATCTGGCTATCCTAGGAACCTCATGTAAGTGGAACCATGCACTATTTACCTTTTGTGAGTGGCTTGTTTTACTGAGCATAAGGTCCTCAAGATACATCCATGTCATAGTTTATGCCAGAATTCCCCTCATTTTCAATGCTGAATCATATTCATTGTATATATACATCACGTTTTGTTTTCCATTCATCCATCCATGGACACTTGGGTGGCTACTACCTTTTGTCCATATGGATAATGTAGTATGAGCATGGGTGTGCAGATATTTCTTTGAGCCATACTTTTAATTCTTTGGAGTATACTCAGAAGTGAACTACTGGGTCATATGGTAAGTCTATTTTTGAGGAATTGTCATACTGCTTTCCACATCAGCTGTACCATTTTCCACTCTCACCAGCACTGCTCCATGGTTCCAGTTTCTACACATCCTGTCAATAATTATTTTCTGGATTTTTTTTTGAGACTAGTCATTCTAATGGGTGTGGAGTGATACCTCATTATGGATTTGCTTTGCATTTCCCCAATGCTCAGTATCAGTAATAATTATGATTAGTGATACTGAGCATATTTTCATGTGCTTATTGGCCACTTTGGAGAAAGGTCTTTACAAGTCCTTTGACCACTCTTGAATAGATGTTTTGTTTGTTTGCTTGTTTGTTTGTTGCTATTGTTGTTGAGTTCACTTGGACTTTTAAGTGAAATACTAAGCCCCTGGAAATTGTAAAAGGACCTGCTACTCCAACACACAGCAACCCAAGCCAATGTTATATACAAGGGGTAAGCGCACATCGACTGTCTCCAGCAGCTGTGTATGTATGGTTCCCAAACTTCTATTTTGCTACCAAGAGGTTACACTCAGTTTCTCTCAAAGTTCAGTGGAATTGTGTGCACTCAAGAGAAGAGATTGGCTTTAAATTCAGCACCTTTTGTCCCAGGATTGTTGGAGGGGCTATGTGTTGTGCAGGTGACTGCCCGGCCTGGGCTGGGCTCCGGAAGGAGGCCTTGGTTCCTGGCTTGGGCAGAAGGCTGCGTGGGAAAGGCCACACTGACAAAGCACGGCCACATCTTCGTGCTCTTGGTTATTGATTCCGGATAGGAATCTGAATCTTTTTTTTTTTTAATGGCTGTATCACTGTGCAATGTGGAAAGCTGAGAGGCTAACTTAAGCCCAGCTGTACTGCATCTGCTCAGCAGCCTCCTACTATTAACTACAGATCATTAAGCCGTCCAAGAGGGAGCTGCTGCCTCAATTTACATCTCCAAAGGGCTGCTGGCTGGAATTGTAAGTTATGGTTCCTGAGTGGGCTCTCTATTCAAAGGCCCACTTTTGACTTATTTGAATTCTTAAATATGCAGCATAGGAACTGCTATTATACTTTTAGGGGGTGTGTCTTATAAACAAGAGGAAATCACATTTAAAACAGTAGCAAACAATGCAAACCAGTTAACGGGGCGCTGAACAGAGGCGTTTTAAAAGCCCAGTGTGGCTAAGAAGTAATGAGAAAGGGCCATTAGCCTCATTTTACAACCTCAGAAAGACAAAGTGGACATTTGTTACCAAGATACCCGGGAACTAGGAGAGAAAGCTTAATTGGGTTTGTAAAGATGCATGTCTCCGTCACTAAAAAAAAATAGTGGTCTCTCTTGCTTACTTAGCAGATCCCTAAGCCACCCAGGAAAGGGCGAAAACAGCCCTAAGTCTCCCTGCCAGGAGGGCACAGAACAGAGGAAACAGCTGCCCCACTGAGCAAGCACAAGCCTCAAATGAGGCCCCTCAGTGAATGAGCTTGTAAGCACTAAACTGCCAAGTGGCAAATTGGGGATAAGTGAGAGATCTGGTGCACCTGGTCAATGAGAGGAAGTCGTCTCATCTGGTATTTAATGGGAAAGGCTAGGGATCCTCAAATGAGGAGCAATTAACCAGGATAATTGATCACTGTACCAAATACCACACACTTAAAGACAAACACATGCCCAAACAGAAAGCTTAAAGATGGGGAACAAAGGTGATATGAGGCATGAAAAAGAAAATTAGATACCGAACGCATTTGTATTTCAGGAAAGGGAGCAGGGAAATAGCTAGATGTTGTCCACAAAATAGCAAGGGACCCATAAAGAGGAAGGGACTTGAGAGACAAAAAAAGACACTGCCTAATGAGGAAGAAACAGGGAAGCCAGCTTAAATGGCCCATCTCTCTGTGCTGATGGAGAATCATTTGTAATCCTTAGCACCACATCTCTTGGAACCACTTGTTGATGAACCAGAGCACAGCAGCAACCTAGATGCTGAGGAGCCTGGAAACCAAGTGTCTAGAGACGTCTCAGAGAACACTTGGTCATAAGCAGAGATAAAGAGGGTCATGTGGCATATGTGCGGCCTTTATATCTGAAGGGCTATGCCAGCGGTTCTCAACCTGTGGGTCTCGACCCCTTTGGCAGTCGAAGGACCCTTTCACAGGGGTCGCCTAAGACCATCCTGCATATCAGATATTTACATTACGATTCATAACAGTAGCAACATTACAGTTATGTAGTAGCAATGAAAATAATTTTATGGTTGGGTCACAACATGAGAACTATATTGAAAGGGCCAGAAGGTTGAGAACCACTGGCCAAGGCAGGAGTAGAGGAATAGCCTGACTGCTCTGGGTGGCTTCAGAAAGGAGAACTATGAACAAAAATTGGAAGCTATAAGGATTCAGATGTGTCCCTCAAATCATCAAGACTGTTGTAATAATCGGTTCATCAATGGAATAGCTGGGGAATGAGCTAATGAATGCCCCTCTGGCTCCCCCCGCCTCCCTGATTTTGAAAAAAATAACAATTGGCCCCTCTGCTAGAATCGAGTGCTTATTTAGAACAAAAGCATATTTCAATTTAAGGATAATAGACGTTAAAACCTATATGTTTTTAATTTATACTAAACGAAGACTAATTTATCTTTTAATAAAATATCATTAATTAATCTAGACACAGGATCCATGTTTCAGTTGACATTGAAAATGTGCAAATAAGTATGGGATTTTATACTCATGAAATAATTGTAAGTAAAAAGTAAGCAGGGTCTGAGTGTGTTGTGATTGTCCAAAGGGAGAATGCATGAGGATGAGAGCTCACAGGCATGAGCTCCATCATTGTATGCAGCCCTGGTGCAGTCAGTCTTACCTGTCTTTAGGGATGGTGGGAGAGTAAGGAGAATGGTGGAAAGTTCTGAAAGAAACCAAGTCAGTCTTTTGACATGCTGGTTTCTCTTCCTCTTTACAATTTAGATAAGCAGTTTGGAAAGTTGCATTAATTCTTTCAAGCCATTGTTAGTCACATCCAGATATTTAACTGAGACTCAGATTCAGTGCCTAGTGGACAACAGGGCTTCAGGGAAATCCTCTTCTGGGCTCAGGGAACACAAAGATTATTAAGACAGCCCTCATGCCCAGCCAGCGTGGCTCAGTGGTTGAGTGTCAACCTATAAACCAGGCAGATCACAGTTCCATTCTCAGTCAGGGCACATGCCCCAGTTTGGATCCCCAGTGGGGGGCATGCAGGAGGCAGCTGATCAATAATTCTCTCTCATCATTGTTGTTTCCATCTCTCTCCCTCTCCCTTCCTCTCTGAAGTCAATAATATATGTATGTAAAGACAGCCCTCAGTACCTAGCTACCTTTACCCCCAACCCCTCCCTACCTTGTGTCCTACCTCCCCACCTCTCACTCTCTCTATCTGGTAGTACTGGCTTTTCTGGTCTTCTGTGAGCTTGCTCAACTTGTTCTTGTCTCTGGGCTTTTGTATTTTGTTTCATTTCTTGAAAAATCCTTCCTCAGATATGTATATAGCTCCCTCCCTCATTCAAGGTAGGTCTCTGCTATGTTTCATTTTTACAGAGACCTTTTATGACCATCTTGTAGAATAGCCCACTACCACCCCATTCTCTTGTCACCATGTGGCATTAAATATTTATTTAGTTTACCCACTGTCTATACCCTAATAGAACATAAGCTGCATGAGGGAAAATTTTTATGGTAGCATATAGTTAATAAATATTTGTTGAATTGGACCACCTCCACCTTCCCCCGTCTTCCCCTTCCTTGGCTTTGACCAAATTATTGTTTCACCTATCCAGAATGATTCGGATCAACTGTTCAAGGAGACATAGAAGTACTTTCAATAAACTTGGAAAACCTCCTCCAGCTCAGCCCTGAGATAATGAGGAGGTGTTTTCTTTGGGGGAGGTAAAAATGTGCCATCACCTTGACATTAAGAAAAATCTCTTGGTGGAAATTTGATTTGGGAAGGTAGAAAATGTTAAATCAATTGATGAACTGTAGTGTACAAAACTTTGTTGCTGAAACTTTTAATCTGTTTTCTACATGGTAGTTGAGGCAGGGACCTCACTGGTCTGGGAGTCAGAACACCCATTTAATCCTATCTCTGTCTACATAGCTAACTGCAGCCTCTTCATTTGTAAAATACTGGTAATAATCTCTGTGCTGCCTGTTGCACAAGATTGTCGTGAGAATCAAATGAGCTAATGTAATTGGAAGGGTGTTGGAAACAGTCAAATAGTTACCGATATAAGATATTATACATTAGAAAAACAGTTCATTTGTCAAAAATAAGCCTTCAGTTAGAACCAGTTGGTATTTTAGGGCAGGTTTATAATTCAAATGTTATTTCATAATTATGTGTGTGGATAGAGATCCAAAAAAGAGAAGGGAGAATTAAGTGGTTGTTGTATTACTGAATTACCTTTCTTTCCTTAGAAATGAAGAATTAGACTCCAAGTTTGCGATATCAGGAAAATAAGGCATAGCAAAATCATTCCCAGGCTACATGACCCAAGCTTTCTGGGTAAGGTTAAGCCAATTTGCATGAAGCTTGAGCCCAAGAAACTTATTCAGAAACCAGAGAGCACAGGGCAGCTTGTTGGTTAATCAACCTCATTTCAGGTTGTGTAATCGGCACAGAAGCCAAAAGAAAAAGATACCCAATATAATAGCATCTGGAATTTTTGAGACTGAGAATATAGTAACATTTACCTATGTAGAGGTCCAAACCCACTTCAGGGAAACAGTAATTAGAAAATATTGCATCATGTTTTTCTACCTTTGGAGAAGCTGCGAAATTAAAATTAGCTGATGATGGGGGTACTAGGCCTAGTAGAATGAACAATGTCTTCCTCCCCAAGGATGTCCATATCCCAATCCCTAAAACCTGGGAATATGTTACCTTACATGGTAAAAGGGATCTTTCAAATATGATTAAGTTAAGGGTCTTGAGATGGGAGATTACCTGGGTTATTTGGGTAGACCTAAGTAATCGTAAGGGTCCTAACAAGGGAAAGAGTGGACGAGAGAGTCAGAACCAGAGAAGGAGATGTGGTGACAGAAACAGAAGTCAGAGAGAGCAGGGGAAACGGGTGCTCCCCTGCCACCTCCAGAAGGACCCCAGCCCTGCTCACCCACATTCCATTCTGAACTCCAATGAAGTCATGTTGTCTTAAGCCACTACGTTTATGGTAAACATGACAAAACAACGGCTAAAGATAATTTGTTAACATAAATCATTAGTTTCTTTTGATTCTATGGCTACTGCTGTGGTTATGAATTGTACTCACTGGCTTCCAACCTGTACTTGCCTTTCATTTCCTTGTTATAACACACACACACACACACAAACACACACACACATACATGTACCTTAAAACATGTAGTAGAGCTGAGGCCCCACTATGATTCCATGCTTCTCCTGCCTGACATCTCTTTCAGGAACTTCTAGTTTCCCTATAAACCCCTCTCTGCCCGTTTTCCATTTCCCCTACCATCAAAGGGCTGCTTGACCTTTGAGGCAGTTGTTTTCCAGACCTTGGGCTACTTTGAGGAAAGGTTGTGATGGAGCAGTCTTAGGTATGTGAGAGGAAGCAGGCAGCCTAGCAGAGCTGTTAATTCAATTTATGCGAACAGGAAGGACAATTGTTGAGATGCCTTGGTGGCATTAGCTCTTCAAAGGCCCTGGAAGGAATATGAAATACTACCTCCTGGAATTCAAGCTGGGAATCCCAAGCTCCCAGCATCCTGCCTGGCCAGCAGCCTGGTGGTAGGTAGGAGCCTGTGCTTGGCTGAGAGATCAGATATGACAGATCACTATGCCGTTTCTCTACAGTGATAAAACCTCTGGTTAAGGTTAACATTAAAGTGATTCAAGGTACCATGAGGGTAGGATATCTGGTCAGAATTTTTAAACACAAAGTCTGTATCAACAGGCTACTTTAGGGTTATGTAGGTGCAGTAATATCGATAGCCCAAATGAGTTCATGGTCAGTCTTCTTTCTCTCCTCCTACACTCCCCCAACACACAACATTAGTACTAAAAAGTGAAGCATAGGAACTGCAGGTAAAACATCCTGATTTCTCTTTGAGAGTTTTCCTGAATTTCAAAGAGAAATTCAACCCATTGTACCACTCAGCTGTTCTCTCCCCTAATTCTTTTCCAAAAAGGATCTTTTAGGAAGAGAACCTCTGGGAATAAAGCATTTCTAAATATCATTGCGTAAACCCGGGCTTTACAAAATAGAACCTTAAACTTGGAAAGAACAGAAACACGTACATGCTCAGATGTGAAGGCAATGAGCCTGGGAACAGCGGCCATCCCTTTCTCCTTGACTTCTGGGAACATCTTAAAGCGTGCAATCAGCATGGCATACATGTTAGATATGGCGCCACCTAAGGTGCACAGCAACACATAGTTACCTTTTCTAGTCATTATCAACATCACTTCACATGCAAGCCACATCCCATTTCCACTGACCCAGAGTCCTCCTTGGACACAGGAGAAGAACTTTTGATTGGCTAACCTTGACCTGAATACTCAGACTCAGGTGCTAGCTAAGAGGGTCCAGAGAAGGAGCATTGGGCCCAACCATGGGACAGATGTCCTCCCTCCACACCCATCTCTGTCACTAAGAGGAACTGCAATTGATTCTGCTCTTTGAAGCAGCATTTAAGAACTAAGGAATTGTTGCCTTCTTTCCCAGCTTGTGAGTGCAGTCATTCTGCATGAGGCTTAGGAAAATCTTACTTATATCCTTATGTAGAAGACATTTCATTTCAGCTCATACAAATGCCTTGCACGTGAACGGCTACAAATCAGTTGCTGTTAATCAACAAGTCTTACAGAATGAGAATATACATCCAAGCCCATCTCTTCATACTCATTTGTTAATTCCCCCTAAATTGTTCTTCCCTCTTAAAGATATCATTAAAATATAACCGTAATAGTTTACAAAAATCTTATTTTATAGCTATGGGATGACATGCAACTAAGGGAACTTTAAGTTCATATTGAATTATTTTTCTGTGTCATCCTCAGGGTGTCAAGAATTTCATACAATAAAGTTTGTATCTAATAAGTAGAGTTTTATCTGATGTGCAAAGAAGAGTAAGCTTTTCCCCAGGATTGTTGGAAAGGTTAGGATTTTTGCTATCCAGAAAAAAGGTCTTCAGCATGGAAATGAATATGTGGGCATGGAAACTGTGAGATCAAGATCATGAGGCAGAGCAAAGGTACTCTCTCCCCCTCACCCAAAGCGGGGCACGCCCAGGCCCTATCATGGTGTGAGTACTTTGCGTTCCCTTCCCTTCACGTGGCAAGAGCAAAAGAGCTCCCTGTATTCAGTCGAATGGCCCACACAGGGCACGATCTTTGCCCCATGAGCCCTGGGCTCTGACGCAAGCAGGCAGCCTCACACACAGCAGTCATCAACAAGAGCCTGGCTTTGTCATCAGTCAGAATGAGGACGATTCCTACTTCTTCTGGACCCCAGAGACATGGGACAAGCAGAATCTAGGTCAGACCTGCTCTGAGCAGCACCCTTTCTAAAAGTCTGACTGTGTAGGATGCCGTTGGAAAATGGAGCAGCTTTTAAAGAAACTTGCTCTCTAGCTATGGTTTCTTAATTCTGGCGCCTAAGGATAGTTTGGGCTGGATAGTTACTTATGGGGGCCTGTCCTGTGCATTGCATGGTGTTTACCAGTATCCCTGGCCTCTACCCACCGGATGCCAGCAGCACTGTGCTCCCCCAAAGTGGCCACCAAAAAATGTCTCCAGACATTGCCAAATGTCCCCTGAGGGAAAACACGGGGCAAAATTCTCCCATTGAGAACTGCTGCTCTCATTCTTCTCAGACAGGCCAGGGAGAAAGGAGAGGAAGACAAATAGAGCTGCGGCCTGTGGACTCAAGGGTCCCAGGTTTGATTCTGGTCAAAGGCATGTACCTTGGTTGTGGGCACATCCCCAGTAGTGGGTGTGAGGGAGGCAGCTGATTGATGTTTCTCTCTTCGATGTTTCTAACTCTATCCCTCTCCCTTCCTCTCTGTAAAAAATCAATAAAATATATTTAAAAAAAAAAGAAAGCTCATTTCACAGGACACTTGTCCAAGAGGCTTCTAGCTCTGCCTTTCCACTCTCCAGTTTTCACCTCAGCCATTCTCTGTCATGTCCAGCATCCCTGAGAGGGATGAAGAGGCTTTTGGCCTCTGGACAGAGCAGACTGCATTGTGCAGCACAGGTAGGAGGACAGATGCACGAGTCCTGCATGCTCTTATTGCCCATGAATCTTCAAGAAAAAAGGATGCAAAAGCAAGCCCTGAGTCATTCTGAAAACCCTGTAGATAGGGAAGGTGTGTGACTAAGCCAAGCCTTTCCTCTTTCCCCCTCAGTTCTTCATGACACGCTGAGCAGTGACAAGTGCTCGGGTCTCTCTGGTTGTCAGGCATAGGTGACATAACATAAACGGATTTCTTCTAAGTCCCAAAGGACTTTCCGTGAAACATGAAGCCTCTGGACGTTATAGATGGAGGCGTAAGGCAAACAGCTGAGCTATATATTCAGCTACAGACCTAACTCTTCATGTTAAGTCCCAAACAACAGGACTTTCAGATAATATGCATGATTTCCCCCTTTCCCCCTTTCCTCACCCCTTAAATTGTAAGACCCTTTACTTCAGGAATAAAGCTGACTGCTACCTAGAAAGACATGTATTAGTGATTCAGGATGCTATCAACCTTTCCTCTGCAATGCCTACAGAGAGCAGAGAAGAAACAGGTTGCCAATGGCTTTTCTTCTATACCCTCCCTACTTTGCAATGTCTACATTACATTGTAACATGACGTCGATGGCTTCTATTTTAGGTCTTTGGGGCCAAGGGAGGAGCCCCATGATCAAGCTTAAGTCTTGTCTAACCCCTTTTCTTGACCATTTGCTGTCATTGATGAGGGTGTTGGGGAAGCCCTCAGTCTATAACTGGCTTAGCACAACTGCCAGAGATGATGCTTTCTCTGGGACAGGTGGGTTTCAAGACCAGCCAGGTAAATTAGGCCTGTCTCAAGCCCCTTTAGTCAACTTTTTAGGATCCACATGAGCAGCTGTTAGCATCTGTTCACTCTGCTCTCCTCGGAACCATTAAAATAGATCCTGGGATGCTCCTGGCTCCCTCAGGGACAACTCAATCAGGCAACTAACCTTATAATAGGAGAAAGAATAAAGGTAGAAGTGATGTTGATCTCTGAACCCTATCTAATTGCTCATAAAAAATATCTTAGGCCTTAAGAGCCTTAAGAACTTAAGAGCATCAGTTCCAGGCAATGGTGACAAAGTTCCCTCAATAGGGGATGGTTTTCCAGAGAAAAAACTAAGTACTAACTTTTCTACAAATAAAGACTAGCTAAAAATTCATCACAGCTGACATTCAATGACTTATAAAGAAAAGGCTAAATTTCCCTACAATTTAACTAACAGGTTTTCCTTCAGCATCTGAAAAAAAAGTGCGATAGCTTTAAAAACATAAAATAAAATAGCAGATCTGAGCTTATAGGTAAAGCTGCTTGATTTTAAGCCTACTGTTGCTCATTTATCATTTCTTTTTCCATCCGTTTTTTTATTTTCTCCCTCCTCATTATCCCCTTGTCTTTGTAGATTTGTTGAGGAGAGATCACAATGTGGCCTTTGTGAGGCCTGGCACAATGGCAGGTGTGGAGCTGGCTCCCCTAGGGGAGCGCCCACCCGTTATGATGACCTCCTTCTTGCACTGATTAGGTGATGATCTGCACACCGGGTTTCTTTTCCATGGGTCATTGACTCTTTTTTCCCACTGCCCTCCTAACTTCTGTTTCTTCTCTGCATCAAACCAAGGTCACACACACACACACACACACACACACACACACACACACTGGGAAGCAAGCGCAGGCCTTTGTTTCAGGTTGATTCTCTTGGCTGAAAGAGGTGTAAATAACTGGAGCTTAGAATGCAATGGAGGGTGATAAAAGGCAGGATGGGAGAGACTGAATGGCTTGATAAAGAAGAGAAGGAATGAGAAAATTCCTGAAGAAATCATCACCCTCTCCTTTAGTTCTAAGAAACTGCCTCGTAGGCACTCTCCACCTCCTTGAAATTAGTGTAAATCAGCTTCTCTGCTTGTTGCTTGAGAGGAACAGGGTTCTTAGGATCTATTAAGTAGCTGCCTGTCATGCATTCTCAACCAGAGAATGCTTTATTAAACGAGGCTGCCCTTTTCCTTTCTCTAATCCTGGGAAGAGCATCAGAGAGTGAATTCTCTTATTAGGCATCTTTATTCTTTTGTTCCACATGATGCATACATCCTGTGTGTGGGAGCCCAGTAGAAGTCTTGGGTAAATATAATCTTCGTTTATGCTCTTTTTGAACACAAATAACTAATGTTCAAGCATGGGATAGTTGGCTTAGAGGCATGGCCAATGGTCAAGTGTACTTAATGACACTCATTCTTTTTATCGATATAGAGACTATTGAACTTAAGCAGAAGTACAAACAAGATATTTAAGATTTCCCAGGTTCATAATAGGGCATTGCATACCAGAAGAAAGAAACACAAAGAAAAGTTGTAATATCATATACCAGGAGAAAATATCCCATCGCCAGAGCCCCCTGGCCAGCCAATGATTTCTCTCATTTTCTTTAGGGTGACATATTCCAAAAGCACAAATACTGGAGCAATTTCATAGGTGAACCTGAAATGCAGTAATGGCCACATTTTATTTATGTAACTCAAATAAATAATTCACCACTATAGTATCTACAGAACTATTTTCTTTTTTCAAACCCTGCATTCACAAATGTTATGATTATACATGAAGTAGAGAAAAAATTATGTCTTCTAAAAGGTTTGCTCATTTTTCTATGTTCGTAAAGTTAAGAGCTTTAATTATTGACTTAGTGCACAATGGTCATTTATCATCTATATATATAAAAGCCTAAGCAACTGTTTGACAGTTTGACTGGTAGCTATGACATGCACTGACTACCAGGGGGCAGACACTCAATGCACAGGCATGGAAACATGGAACAGTCTGATGAATCTCAGAGGAAAGGGGGAGGGGGAGGGAAGAAAGAGATTAACCAAAGATCTTATATGCATACTAGAGGCCTGGCAAAAATTCGTGCACTGGTGGGGTCTCTCGGCCTGACCTGCACCCTCTCACAATCCGGGACCCTGGGGGATGTCAAACTGACGGTTTCAGCTGGATCCCTGCAGGCCAGGCCGAGGGACCCCACCGGTGCTCGAATCCGTGCACCGGCCTCTAGTATTGAATAAATAAAGAACATTGCTGAGTAACACTATTTAAAATATAACATCTAATCTCATTTGTCTTTTACAGTATACATTATTATCAATCCAAAATTCCAAAGGTCCCTTTTTGTGTTTAAAAAATGCTGTATAGCTTTGAATGAGTTATATCAATACTATATTCTATTAAGTTAGAGTGAACAGCAATGTATGTCTGACATCCATTATCACTATTTTAGGGGTTACTTAATAAAAGAGATTTTCACATGAGAGGTAGAATAAAGACTATGAAACTTCACTAATAATTATTCATGATTACACAAAAACACATTTACCTACTTACATGTTAGTGTTTGCTGTTGATGTCAGCCAGTCTGCTGCTAATCCAACCATATCCAGTCCAGTGGAGAGTTGATTGAAATATCTGGGATGCCCTGAATAAAATGGATGCCCAGAATCAGGACTGCGTCCAATGAAAATAAATGCCTTTCAAACACACAATTTCTCTTGCTAAAGAACCTTCAAAGATCCTATAGAAGTAGGAAATCCATATTCAAAAACCCAATATGCATGCATGCATGCACACACACATCCCCCAAAGGAACATTTCCTCTAACAAGAGAGACTATTTTGGATTTTTGGTATTTCTAAATATGGTCCTTAAATATTCTCTATTAAAATAACAAATGTGGTCTGCAATGTGGAAAAATGTAGCCCTTTTTTCAGTAGATTTGTAAACTATAGTGCTTGTGCAATCCAAAGCTATTCAAAGACAGGCTTTTCTTGTTTACACTGGTGCTACTAAAAATCCTTTTTTTTGTTGAAGCTGTTCTGGAATCAGTCATACCACGACATCTGCCAGCCATGCCAACATTCATAATGATATCAGTGACAAACGGCTGATGATTACAAAAGACAAGGCAAAAATGAGAAAATAGGACATTCTGTTGAATGATTTGCCCTTGATTCAAAAGGTGATGATTGTCTAAAGATGGCATGGAGAAACCTAATTCTTGTCAATTCTTTTCTCTCCAAATATTTAATTATAAACAACAGAACTCCTTCATAGCTGTGATTTAAAATAAAGAGAAATACAGTCAACATCACTGTCTTGTCAACAAGATACATGAAGATATAGTCAATGGACCAATCAGTCCATTAGCAAGGCTTATCTAATTAATTTCTGGATTTCTCAGAGACTCTCTAAAGGGGTTGACATCTAAATACTCCTGAGGCCATTATTTTAAATGTGATGGTAAGTATCTCATTAGAATTCCACTTCTGTGTCTTGCCCCATAAAACCTATCTATAAATCTGTGATTTGCTTAGCAGCAAAAATTTTGGAAGACGAACAATTATGGAAATAGCGTCTGATAAAAAGGCACCTGCCACTTACTGGACACCTGTCTGAAGCCTGGGGATGTGATAGTCTCTCATGCCAGCATGGGCAAAACAAGATTTAAAAAGGCAAAGCAGAAAGCAGGGATGCTATCTCTAGGACTGGAGTGCTCTCTTATCAGCCTCCTGCATGTGGCTAGACAATCAGATGTCGAGAAAAGATAGGAGCCAGGAAAGAAAAGAGTACATTTGAAAGAGATTGGGTTTTGTGCAGCTCTCTCTGCCCCACCTCCACCATTGTTTTACCTCCCTTTGGACTGGCCCAGTGCCCCTCTATCTGTTTTTGCTCTTTTCCAGGCCTATGATGCTGACTCTGTCAGTCTGTGCATCCACGGAAAGTGAAAAAGCCTCCTTTGGGTTCCACCATTGCCCTCTGGAACAACCCCCCACTCCTCTCTGCCTCATTGACTCCCCATTTCATTAGAGCTCACAGCTGAAACCACAGCCCTCTGCTCCCTTCTGGTGCCCCTGCATTTCCCTTTCCTTAAGCCATTTCTTTAAAGCAAGGAAATTAGTAAGGATTAGCAAATCTATCTGTTCATCTACTTTACCAATTCGTAGACATTTTCTCCATGGATCTGGTGTTTGCTAGCACCCACTATTTAACTCTATGGAAACTTTGGGATGAAAACCTCGGCATAAAATTGAGAGAGATTCCCAGGCCTGTGTTGTGGCCCAGGATGTCAGAAGACCAGTTGCCCCTGATGATTGCCTTTGGGAAATGGTGGGAACAAATTTGATCCTTCAGTGGCCCATCTCCCTTCTGTATTTCTTTTTGGCCTTGGTCACCCATTTTCCCTGAATCTCTCTTCCCTCAAATTTTTTCATTTACTGATAATGATGTGAAAATATAGAGGGAGATAGTTTGACAGCTCGGAACAACATAACCTCTTGATTTCTGCAGAAATATTATTTCGCTCCCTTCGAATGACCCCTACAAGCTGCAGGTAAATCCAGGCAGGGCTCTCTGAGAGAAGAAGAGTGGGAGACCTGCCTTGGAGCTTGCGGAGCTGTCCTGGCAGCCCTGGCATCCCAGCTGCTGCTGCTGCTGCTGCTGCCCCCACCGGGCCCTGTGCTGCCAGGCTCCACGCCAGGAATCAGGCGGCCAAGGTAGCCTGAGCAGCCAGTGATACAGTGAGTTTGAAAGGTGAGATTAGAGCCGCTTCAGGCTCTACAATGCTCCCCACAGATTAGCAAATGAGACAGGAAGGATGCACAGACTGCTTGTCCAGAATCAGTGGGGGAGGGGCCTAGAGTCGTCCAAACTGCTCTCTTTGTACTGTTCACATGCACCCAAGGAAGTCTCACTTACTAACCCTTCAATTCCTTTGACTAATGGTTTAGTTAAAAGATTCAAGACAACATTTAACCCTTCCACCACCCAACCACCACCACCACCACCAAATCTAAGGATCCCCCCAAACGCTAATTATTCCAGGATTCTTACCATTTTTGGCAGTTTTTGGTCCTAATATTTCTTAGAGAGGTAATTTTATCAAAACATGAAGGCATCATTTCCCCACTGCCCCTCATGCCACTCGAAGCTTGAAGCCCAAGGGGAAATTAGGCTAACGACTCTCAATAGAAAGCAGTCGATAAGATGCATTTTTTAAAAACAATCTCCCGAGAATCATTAAAATGCTTAATGTAGCAGGGTAGTAACTACTCTACAGACCCTAAATAATACTTGTTGTCAAGTTATAGCATAAACTCCTATAAGTAACAAGTTTATAGGAGTTTATGCTATAGAGAAGATGACTGCTGTTAATTCTTTGAAATGCTATTTGTGGGTAAGGGGGAAGACTATGTATGTTATGAATAATATTGATATTGAATTAATATCAATATGCCTTACTTGAAAATCCAAGTTAATCAATCATATTTTTTCCTAAACTTTAATTAACATGCATGAGAGCTATACTTGCCCAAAAGATGTAAAAACATTATGGTAAAAATCAAAGAATTGAATTGACCCATGTTTTCCTGACACTAAATGGAACATTGACAGACAGAATTACTTTCATTGACTTGCATTTCCCATTATCTTAAGTCTTTAAATTGTATTTCAGACACCACCAGATTTTAAGGACAAAGATGTAAAACATTTGTATAGAGTCTTTTTGGTTTGGCAGCAAAAAAAAAATTAAGTAGCATTTTACTATTAACATTTAAATATCAAGTTAAGGGAATGGGTTAAACAAAAAATGAATTAAAAGCATTGTTCAGGTTTGTACTTACAGATACATGAAAAGCTGGGAGAAAAAACATCTTTAATGCCTAGTATATTAATCATGTGGATTCTCTATGAACATAACTGAGAATGATATCCAATAAGCCTTCCAAACCATACCAGACAGACGGAATTTGATAGAAATCACCAAACTAAATTCCTTTCCCTATATATCTAGTCCTAAGTCTATAGTCTCACAAAAGTGGATACCAATGGTTCTGTAAATTAATTTCCTAAGGTTTCTTCTATGGATACCTTTCCTCTCTGTTGGTTTAAAGAATGTACAAAGAACACCGCCCCCATACCACCACCACACACACATACACATGCACACCCCCACACACAAAGAGCTAAAATCACACAGCAGATATTCTTAAAATGTTTGTTGTTGATTAGAATTATATGGATCAAATTTAGCTCCAAATCAATTAGCCACAAATCAGTTTAGATCCACAAGTTCTCTCTCTTTCCCCCTGAAAATCCAGTCATTTTTATTGCTCTAATGAAGTATCAGGATGATTAGAGACGATGTAGAAAAGAAAGGGGTAATCGTGACCTGAGAGATGAATAGCTGATTTTGTGTAGACAAAATTAAAACTTAGAATGCACCCAAACAAATGGTACACCTGGCACTATAAAATGGATAGATGATGAAGAGTTCTGTGAAAAAGCAATAAATTTGCTCCTAAGGATATCTGATTTCCCTCACCCCACCCCACCCCCACCCCTTTATCTGATATACAGAGTGACTATGAAGTGCACATTTTGTATAATAGGGCTAAATTGTTAAGGTAGTTTGAATTGTGTTTTCTTTTGTGTACATTTCTTTGAAAATAGAGACAAACTGGAGTTCAAATCTAAAGTGTTGGCCATTTGAGACAATGCCAAAACATTATCCCTCTTGATCAATAATTACATAGGATGGTTTGTCCAAATTCTCACCCTTCCTATGTCAAAGTAATTACCAGCACTATATTAGCATTTGGGCTTTTGTTTAGATCATATTTTTTGACCGTTCATTTTCATATTCCCCCCCCCTTTTTTCTCTGCATTTTGGGTCGCTTCTACTGGCCTCTGCTGACAAATGCTTGTTTCTATATCAGTGGTTCATCTCTTTGACCAAATATGTGCAATGTAAAATATGACAATTTATAATTAGATAATGTTTTTGACATTATCAACTTCAGAATCATTAACAGTAATAGTAAAGGGTGCTTTTGATTAGGATCATTCTGATAATGTCTATTTTTTAAATGATGAAAAATTTTGTAAATTTGAAAATATCAGTAACTCCAAAAAACAGAAAATATTTTATAGAAAAAATAAAGATTGTGAAAGAAAAAAGAGCTTTATTATTTCTGATGGGACAATACCTGTTTTAATTGCATATTTTAGAGTTGTTTGGCAATGCATCAAAATTTCCTCCAAATTTTGTGGTTGGTCTGCCAATTCCCAATTATATTCTTGAAGAAGCTCGTTAGGGTAATGGAAATCAATCACTTTGGTTGATCTATCGAAACTTTTCACCACATACTGAAGCAAAATATCCATAACATCCTGCAGGAACGCCAAGGTGGGTCTTTCTCCATCACAGGCTGGCAGCAGGTCTAAGGAATGAAATCATATTGCCACATTTTATTTTATTTTTTTAACAGGTAAAATTAATTTTAATAATATATATTATTTAACCCAATATGTCCAGAATACTATCATCAAAACGCCACATTTTAATTTTACTATGAAAATGCCCAGGCAAGATCTGATCCAGCAATTTCTCTATGAGCTGGCGATTGTATGTTTAAAAAAATCTTCGGGAAACGCAGAGCTTTTTCTTTCAAAGGGAGGCACTTTTCAAAGAGGAAAGAATGAGAGAAATTAGTATTTCTCCCCACCTCCCGCCCCAAATGAATTCCTGCATTTCAATTCTAAACTTAATTGCTTTCTTTTTAAAACAGAGTGTGCCTCTTCACAGGGGTTCTTCAGAAACGTTTTTTTCTCAGTAAACCATCCGCCACGATTATGGAAATTGTCCACGTCAGAAGTGTTTGAGGAACCAACGCCTTTGGGCAAACCGGGCAAAGCGGGTCATTCGAAGTTAGGAACTCTGACCCATTAGGAAGGCCCGCTGTTTCCGAGGTCAGTGTGTGTGTGTGTGTGTGTGTGTGTGTGTGTGTGTGTGTGTGTGTGTGTCACGCGCGCTTGTTTGGATGACTAGGTATGTAAATGCGAGGGAGCAAAACCGCTTGCAGTTCTCACGTGAATAGAATCGTTCTCCTGTGAAATCGCAGCTACAAATTACTCTTGCGATCTAAAGACAGAAAGTCTTTTCACTTCTGACCTGGAAACCGAGCCCCACCCGAGGCCTCTCCAGCACCAAGAAGCCGACCAGGAGCTCCCGGCGCGAGGACACCTCGGCCACCGCAGCGCCCCTTCCAACGCGGGAGCCCCGCACCACGCAGAGGCTGGGGTCGGGTCTCGGACCCGGGGCGGGCCCTGCGTGTCTCACTTTCAGCTGAAGATTCTCCTAAAGTCATCCTCCGCCCTCCACCTGGAAGCCGGGGGTCGGGCTCCCGGCGCCGCCGGATGGCGCACGGGCAGAGCTTCGGGCACTGGCTCCAGGGGCCCAGCGAGGCGCCTTTACCTGTTGCGTGCAGAAATGCGTAGTTGACATCCGCTTTGGGACAGCTGCAGGGCTTCTGGTTGCAAGCACAGGCGGCCTTCCGGGAGGTGGCCCGCGGGGGCTCGCTCCCGCCACTCTCCGCTGGCTTCTCGGCGTCTCCGTAGAGCAGAGCTGGGCAAAGACACCGAGCGCGGATTTCGGTCAGCCGCCCTGTGGGCCCGGCTCCCCAGCCCCCGCCCACCCCGCACCGAGTAACCCCGACTCCGCGGCTGAGGATGCAGAGCTGAGAAGGTGGCTTTGCGCCGCGGCCCCGAGGCGCCCAGCCCTATCGCCTCCCGCCCCGGGGTACCGGCTCTCACCGCACAGCTTGTTTCCGATGCCTCCCGTGAACTTCTGGGCCACTTGACACCAGGCTCTCGCTGTAAGAAAAGACAGGCACGAGGTCGGCGAGGCAGAAAGAGAAGAGCAGACAGACGGACGTGCTAAATTTCGTTCTCTGTAAACAGTGTCAATACACCTGGCGTCCGGGAAGGGGCCGCCCCGGGTTCGGCGCCGCGGGCAGGTGCGGGAAGTGCGCGGGAGCCTGGCGATCCCGCCCGGCCCTCAGTTTTCTGATTCTTTCCCCCAAGGTGAAGCCCACACCGCGGCTTCTAGGTGCCAGTCGGCTCCGGCAATCTCCCCCCGCTTCCTGCCTCGCTCGGGCGAGTTTTCCCAGACACCGAGCCTGTCCCTTTCCTCGCAGGCTCTCCGTTCAAACCAAGAATTCTCTCCCCTTTCCCATTTTTCCTTTCCCCACTGCCACTCTGCCCCTCTCTAGGATCCAAGCACCAAGATGGTGGCAGTGTCCCAGGCCTGAGGAATTGAGGGGTCGAGGAAACGCCTCTGATGAGAAGGCTCGCCCAGACTTCGGAGGAGCGGACCCAGGATTCGTGGGGCGTCTTCTTAGGGGATAAGGACCTGCGGGGTTTTGGTCTCTTGGGCCATCAGGGACCTACCCCGAGAGGAGGACGCAGCCGCTGAAGTTTCCTATTGCAGGTGGAAAACCTCCTTCCTCTCCCCTAGCCCCGCACACCCCAGTCCACCCTCAAAGCTCGCCTGCTGCAGGTCCTGGTTTTCCTACCTGTGCTGGGGTTCTCGGGATCCCCGGAGCCATCTTCAGAGCCGAAAGACCAAAAGCTGGAGCCGGGAGATGCCATCGGCGCTGCGAGACTGGAGCAGATCGCCTCCGAGTGCGAAGTGTGGGCGCACTGCCCTCGGCTCGGTCCCGCGCGCGCGTGCGTGTGTGTGCGTGTGTGTGCAAAGAGGGCAACGCGCGGGGACCCGCGCGGCCGCGGGTAGGTTTCACTCAGGGACAGGAAACGTGCGTGTCTGCGTGTGTGTGTGTGTGTGTGTGTGTGTGTGTGTGTGTTGGAGTTAGGGCTTTGAGACGTGGCGGCAACGCTCTGAAAGCCTAGAATGCTAAGTAGGGAAGGGGACGGGAGGGTTCTCGGAGCCAGGAGAGGGGAAAGCGCAGAGCGCCCGAGTGATTTTGAAGGCGAGGGAGCCCGAAACGGATGGATGAGCGGGCGGCGGGAGTGCGCTGAATCAGGAGGGTGAGACTGACAGCGCTCAGGAGCGGGAGTCGGAGTGAGTGGGTGGGAGGTGTGCCCGCGAGCTCCCGCAGAGGGCAAGGCGGGAGGGAGCCCGCTTGCCTCCCGGCCCGGATGCGCTGTCCAGGGTGCTAACGCGGCTGACTCGGCGCTGGCCTCTGGGAAGGGTGGACCAGAGAGACTTTGGCGAGGCGGGAAGGGTGGCGGGGAGCAGTTTTACGCACGCTGGGATTAGGGTATTGTTTGAGGTCTGGCTCCGGCTGCGGAGGAGGAGGCGCGGTTCCCGCCCCCGCCTTCCTTCAAGTGGGTGCTAGGGTCGCTGTGACCTCGAGAGACGAGCGACTGGGCCAGAATCCCGAGCGGTTCCGCAGCTCCGAGAGGGGATGGTGGGGGAAGGGCGCCTACGCGTTAATGGGCTCATTTCAGCTTCTTAGTAGCGCCTAATGCCTGCCTACTGAGCCGCGAGGTCCCCGGCGGCGCCCCAGTCCTGGGCTTTCGAGCGCGCTGTCGCCCGATCCACCGTCCAGCTTCTGACTGATGGATGGGGAGAAAGGCTGCCAATTGAGGCAATTAAAATCCATGCTGGAGTCTACCGTAGTCTATCACCGAGGACCTCGGGCTGGAGAAAAAATGAAACAAATGGGAACTTCTTGGAAGGGGCGTGAGGAAGAGCAGAGAAGGAGAGCAGCTAGGACTGGCTGGATTGACAGTCGACGGGGCATGGGATCGGGTCATCTGTGACCTCGGCCTGCGGAGGCGCGGAAGGACCGTTTCTTCCGTGTGACTGCAATGGGTGGGTGCGTGGGAGGCTTGCACAGAGTTTCAACTCCTGTGCAATTTGAGCTTTCCAAATCGGAGGCGGAAAGAAGGCATCTCCTGCTGGGCCCTCTTTGTAGCGGGCCTCAAATCAATGACCCCTCTCCCCCGAGAATCTCTAGGATAGAATGTGTGTGGGGGGGAGGGGGGGAGGGAGTAATTGGCTATATCTGTGGCCTGTGGAAAAGGGGTTTCTCCTCTCCTGAGGAAGTTCAAGTCTCTCCTCTCTTAAAATTTCCTTTCTCTAAAAGCTGTTAAACAAAGGGAGGGCGCCCTGAGAACTCAAAGCCCGCTGAGCTCGCATTGCTTTTCCGTAGCCATCTAGAGAACAGCGACCCTCCCGCACACTAAGCTGGTGGAGAGAGGGGCGAGGAGGACCTGGTGGGAAAGGGCTGTGTTCGGCCTCCCTCGGAGGCGTTCATTCCTGACGTCCTGCTCCCCTTGGGCAAACGCTTCTCATTTCCATTGTGTTGCAACCACTCTTTCTCTGACCTCCTAACCAAGTCACCAAAGCTGCTGCCAAAGCAGAGATCCACGGATCCTCCGTCTCGGCCACCACCCCTCGGCCCTGGCTGAGAAAGGGCATCGTGGGGCTAGCATGGCCGCCTGCAAGTTCAACTCCAGTGTCCCGAGGCGCGAGGAAGCCTGGTCAATTGTCTCCACTAAGCTGTGTCTTCTTCCCACGTGCCCGATCCCGAAGGAGCCGTTCCATCGGTCCCACGGCCGCCGGGCCCACTCTGGGAGTGGGCGCAGGGAAGGGCGCAGAGCGGGCTTTGTTCAGAAGCCTGCACCAGGCTGCGGGCGCGAGGTGAGCGCCAACCCAGGCCTCATTGTGGCCCCTCATTGTGGCTTCCGGCTCCAAGGCTCCCGTGAAGCCAGGTCACAACTCTGGGGGTGTCATGATGCGGTAGTTCCGCCTTCTGGGGCGAAGGGCGGCTTCGTGGCTCTCGCTTCAGCCATGCAGATGCGCGCCCGAGAGCCCGGTTCTTTGTTTAAATCCACACCAAATCCTGCAAATGTTTCCCTTCCAGCCAGCAGGTTGGGGTGGCAGGACTTTTCTACTATGGATGAGTGGTCGAAAACAGAAAGGTTCTTTAAAACGAGCATTTAACACACACACACACACACACACACACACACACACACACACACACACATCCCCGAAGGACGAAGAAGATTAAAACACGAGGAAGGTAGAAATCACACCTGGATTTCACGGATTTTTAAAACACGGTGGCTTGAAATTCTACCCCATTAAATCCCGCGGCTCCGGAGTACTTTGGGTCCAAGGGTAGTATTTGCAGGTTTAATGTAACACCCTACTTCAGAGGCGCTCGGGATCTGATTTGTCCTTCCCTAACGCCGTCCCGCCTAGACGGCAATTTGCTGTTTACAGACGCATTTCACAAAGGAGCCCACACCCCACCCCCCTTGCTGGGCTTGGGGTTGGAGATAACAAAAGAGCTCTGGGAGGTAATAATTACAGTCATTAGTTCACAAAAGAGGCGGCCTCCGACAGGGAAAAGGAGGCGGCCAGCTCTGGGGAAAAGCTTTCCAAGGAGAGAGAGACCCACACTCCCGCGCGCGCGGCTGGCAGGCCGGCTCCCTCGGCTGACCTATTTTTTGTCCGTGGATGATCCAGAGATCGCGCCGCAGGCCCGCCAAAGAAGGGTGTGCGGTACAGGTTTTCCCTTATGTCCTCCCTGTGCTTACAAGTCGAAGGACAGAGAAAGAAGGGAGATGGGAAAAGATTAAAAACAAATAAATACAAGAGAAAAAACAAAAACATTGTATTTCACCTAACGTTTGCCATTCTCTTGGCGGGGAGGGTAGGATGTTAGGCGCATTCTCTACCTTTCCCCTGCGCTCAGTACTTTTCCATTACCCACTGCTTGGGGATTTCGCGATTTTCCTATTATTCTCATTTCAGATTTTGCAAGACATGACGAATGGCTTGCAGTTTCCAGTAAACAGCCTTTCCCAGTTCGCTGTGGACTGCCTACACCCGGCTTCCCGCCATCACCTGGCACCTGGTCCGACCGGTTACTCCGACCTGCACAGGAAATACAAATATCCCGCCCCCCCTACACTTGATCGCTGACAGGACACACTGGTCTCAGCCGCTGTGAGAGAATGGAACACCAATTTTAAAACTCGCACAACGTCTTTTGGCCTGGATCCTGTCTGCACGGACCTAACAGAGGGGATTTCGGGGACGGGTCATTGCCTCCCTTTCCAGCAACGGAAGGGCCAGGCTGCCAGGGCTCTGGTCTGCAGGGACCACTCGGGAAGGCTGGGTTGACGTAGGGGCCTGCCAGGAAGCTCGGCCTTTACCCCCAGATCCCTCTCGGCGGCCTGTGCGCTGGGTAGGGGCGGAGGGCCGGGCCACCTTCGGTTACGGAGATCGCTTCCTCCCGAGACCCGCCAGTGAGCCGTGTCCTGCGGCGCTGGTTTCGTGAAGTGTCGGGGCCCGGCCCCGCCCCGCCGCCCGCCGCAGCTCGGACGCGATCCGCACAGCCCACGGCGCGAACCCAGGGAAAGAGCAGGCCTAGATAGAGTGCACTTGGCCTTGGATCTCAGCCCTGTCTCAGTACGAGGTTGCCCCTCGGGCGCGTCTCATTTGTAAAATTAAGAGTTTGCATGAATCATCTCTGGGGGCCTGTGAGCGCCCATTCAGTGGGATGGAGAAAACCTTACATCCAGGTGACCAAGCGGCACAACATAATCGGCCAGCGCACGTGCCCTCACCTTCTCCTCGAATAGTTCCCCAAAGTCTCCTGTCTCTGGGCCATGGGTGTAGGAGCCGGGACAAGGCAGACAGTGCAAGCCCCATCCTAGCCAGAACCCTCCTTCCAATCAGTCCTCGATGGAACCACCGCGCCACCCTTCCTATGACCTCTCCTGGTCTCAAAGACACGGAGGGTTAGCATAATATGCTAATTAGACCGGACGTCCTTCTGGACAAAGGGAGAGGGCGCCTCAGCAGAGGTCCCTGGCCCGTGGAGGCGGTGGGCGGTGGCGGGGCCAAGGCCCTTGCACGAATTTCAAATTTCTAATATATATTATTGATTTCAGAGAGGAAGGGAGAGAGAGAGGATAGAAACGTTAAGGATGAGAGAGAATCATTGATTGGCTGCCTCCTGCAGCCCCCTACTGGGGATGGAGCCTGCAACCCGGGCATGTGCCCTTGACTCCAATGGAACCTGGGACCCTTCAGTCCGCAGGCTCACACTCTATCCACTGAGCCAAACCGCCTAGGGCCTCTCCATCTTAAATTCACCAAAATTCAGAGCTGGGAGATTGCTTCAAATCTGCAGACGGGGAGAACCTAAAACATCTGACAGTTCATTCAGTAGTGGACCAAAAATTTTATAGGCGGGGCCAAAAGAAGCCACAGTGTTTGGGCAGGCTGTGTGTGTGTGTGTGTGTGTGTGTACGTGTGTGCAGTGTGTTGGGGGGGTTTGGAGATTTGGAGGCCACGTTTGTGTCACAAGTACAGGTTGTAATTTCGTATGAGCCTTTGGGGTGCTGGTGGTGAGTTGTTCGCTGGTGGAAACAGAAGGCGAGGCACCTCGCCCCCCTCCCTGGTCATGCCAGCCTGCACAGCAGGGCCACAGGAGCTAGACCTCCCAGGAGAAGACACGGACTCTCCAAGGCACTTCCTTTATTTAGTAACTTAATAACCATGGGAAGGCAAAGCACGAGTTTAAGTTCATCTTCAAAATTTCCCCACATCCTCACGCTTCTCCTCCCACCCAGGATTTATTGTTTTAAGAGACTCAACCCGCCCACGAGTGTGCCTTGGGCTTGGGAGAGGCATTTCCAGGAAGTAGGAACTCTTTGAAGT